GATGCACAGCGGTACATCGTAGCAGGCAAAGTCACCCCAAGTTGCGTCTAAAAATTGTTCTTGTGGTTCTCTTAAGCAAACATAGCTTTTAACTGCTCCAAGGCAGCCTAAGGCATTTTTAAATATTTTCACAAGTGAAAATGAAGTAATATAACGTGTCACAAATTATTCTATAGAAAGTTGGAAGAAGCAGTATGCACAGGAAAATAACTGCATTGCGATGATGGTGCTTGTAATAAGCCACATAGAGCACTCTGACGTTTATCCTTAACTGTGTGTAACTGGCTGCGTGAACTCTGGAGGCAGCTGTGCGGACTCGGGCACGTGAAGTCTCACGGACTTCCTGTAGGTGCTAATATGTAAGTTGGATACATTTAACCCAGAATTAGGAATGTCGAGGATGGGCAAGGGGAACTGTTCTTCTGAATGATCGGTGAATAATGACTTGCCTTGGGAGATATACCAGGTCTGTATTCTTGAAAGTTTGTGGAGAAAACGGTGCAACGCTAGATCCGTGCCTTATATAGCAAATGGGAAGTCAGATTCTTGATTTGGAATCTTGTTTGTACGTAGGATAAACTTGGGACTTTGAGTTTTGTTTCTTTTTAGGGTTTTTCTGATGCAAACCTGCGCCTACAGACTCCGGGGTCTCTGGCAGGCTCCTGGCTCCCACGGGCCTCCTGTGGGATATTGTGTGGCAGGACAAATTAAAACGCTGTTGCTGTCTTCGGGTTGACTGGCAGAATCCACTTCGGCTGTTGCTATAGTCCTTGTGAGAAGTCTAACGGGTATGTTACATGCTGATGCCCTCACTTTCCTATGTTTCCATGGCACATCTTTAATTTTAAACATTTTCTGATTGTTTGTCTTGCTTGCGCCTGCCCGACCTCTGCTTTCTACGCTCTTAGGCTGCTCAGGAAGTTCAGGTTTCTGGGCTGCTCGTTTCCTCCACTGTGCAATTTCTTACCATTAGTTCTGTGGTGTCCCATCCCGTACACTGATGTCTGCTCTCGATACAAAGCAGGGTTTGCGGCCTGGCTGCGACATACGTACAGCGATTATTTCCTGTGTGAAATTAAGGTACTGTGAAGCAAGACAGTTGTCTGGTCTGATGCTATGCCCTTATACCACCAAAACTTTCATTTTGCCTTTACTTCCCTTACTTTGCTTTTGGGGCTGCATCTGGTCTCAGACGGGACAGTGAGCCCTCTGGGCCGGAGCCTGTGCTGTTTTGTTGTGCGGCGCTTGTGTGGCACAGAGCTGGCAGCAGCCCTTTGGTGCAATTCTGCCTGTACGTGGGCACCAGGGAGCTGATAAATGCCACCCCATGTCCTGGACTGCAGCAGCAGGCACCTGTAATCGTAGGCTGCGGATCGCCCGCCTGACAGCAGTAAGGAGAGCAGCTTCCAAGGATCCAGAAAGCAGGAGCTCGGAGGTGGTGGTGTAAAGTTTTCTTGGCACCTGAGGCAAGCGATGCAGAGTGTGATTCATGTCGTTTTGTGCCTGGGCATGGGTTTCCTGCGTAGGTGATCTCTGAAGAACAGTGTTTCTCCTCCCAGACCTTACAGTGCTTTCGGTGGTGGCAAGCATGTCGCATAACGCAACTGGAAGCCCCGCTGCTACGTGGCTGCTGTGTCGTACTGCTCTCTTCCCTTCTTCCACACTGTCCTCATAGCGCTCGGGGCTACGGTCCGGACTGGGGGCTTTGAAGGCTAACACAGTGGAAATGATAGGACTCGACTAAAGCCATGACAGAAGTTAATGATCTCAGTGAAAATAAAATTTTCAGATTTCCAACACAAGGGGATTACCTTGGAAAGAATTTAAAACTTCTCAGTCTTTCCTGGCTTCTCGGGAGAAAAGTTGAATCCTCGCCTTGGAGGTGGTGTCTCAGCACCGAGCGGACCAGAACCTTTAGCATTCAGATCTTATGGATCCTTTGTTTCCCTCCTAGTAAAATGCAGAGTAGATTTAAACTAAGATTTAAGCAACCACATCTATTTTGCAGGAGAGTGCTATTAATAAGAAACATACTGTCATGTGTGTCCTTTGCATGAAAACATTACTTACTGAGGTGATCTACTGTAAGGGTTAAAACCTATTGAATAGATCAGTTGTCTTAACCAGAGAGCCAAAAGCAAATAACTAAGAGGCTGTAGACCTTAAATGCATAGTAAAGGCTTTTTAGACAAGCCTGGTAATTTATGAATGTCCTTTTAATGAAGCATCTTTGTCTTTCCTAGATATTTTAATAGAATACGTACATAGGCATCTGGCTCTTGGTAAACTGGATTCTTTCCAAAGACTGAATTTCAAAATGTTAAACAGAGTGATAAGGGTATCTGGTAGTCTAGATGACTGGCACTTAATGAATTGCTCCAAAAATCAAATTACAGTAATGTATTTTTAAAAAGAGCTCATGTTAAAGACTATGTGATGTTAGAATAATTTCTCCTGTAACATCTGTTCTATTATTTGGTATAATTAAAATATTGCATTCTTACCATGCGTTCTCATATGTACATATTCTATTACATTGCAGCTGTGGTTAAAATGGATTGACCTCCAATAGTAATCTGTTCAGCAAAAAAAAAAAAAAAAAAAGAGAGACTAAGAAATGGTTGAGTCTCTTCAGCAGCTGTGTGTTTTTGTGCAAGTACATGGACTAGATTCTGTGTATCAGTTTCAAAGCCTTTTTCTAATAGGAAGTGCTCCGTTCCTGCTCCCTTTCCCTCCCCTTCAGTTGTCACAGGAGATAGCTTGTGTAGAAAAGTGTAGAAAAGCTTCATAAATTTTATTTATCTCTAGCTATTTAAAAATCAATGTAATAGGTAAAATCTGTAGTTGTAGAAACATCAGAGAGTAATTTTTTTTTTGTTTAATTGCTATAATGACTGTCAGGCCTGTATGGAAAAAGCAGTGTTGTCTGTATTTGAACACCTTCTTTTGCCGGCCGCTTCAGCAGGTTCGTGCCTGTTCTGCAGCTGTGCTTTGTTCTGCCATGTTAAAAGCCACTTAACTGTAATGCACATCTCCAGTTGCATGCGGCTGGGATCTTTTTGTCCTTCTTACCCTCCCTGACCCCAAAAATCATTTCTTAAATTAGATGTGTCCATTTGTAGATGTAGACTAGCCCTGGCATTTTTAAAGAAATTCTGTCAATATTTGAGGTCACGTCTTTTCTGAGTATGTGTGAGTGTCACCGTTTTGCTTTGACCGGCGATCCCCTTTTGTGTGTACCACTTTCTCAGTTGCTTGTCAATCGAGTAGTCTCTTGTTCAGCTCTCCCGCGCAGCCCTCCGAAGTTTCCCTGCAAAATAAGATGCAGAGTTCCAAACGGATGCCACACGCCAGCGTTGCGCAGACTTTCAGCTGTATAAAATCATCCCTAAGCAAAGACCAAGTCTCAGTGTAATGCTGTTGCTGAGAAACCAGTCTTAAAGCTTGCGAAATCACCCGAGAGGAGCGTAGCAGTGCTTTGTTGAAAACACAGCGCTTGCATTGCGAGACTTGAAACCCAAGCTGCCAAACGCCAAGGTTGTGCTCCTAACCAAATTTTGAAGCTTTTCCTGCCTCTTAATAAGCTAAGATTTTGAACTTCTGTTTTGGAGTGGAAAACAGACATTGACCAAAGCGCCTCCTTGAGAGGTTCTGCTAATTTCACGGCTCCAGAAGTTCAGGAATCACGGCAGCATGTAGCAGTTTAAAGGGAGAGAAGGGTTGGGAATGAGCACCCCATCCAGTAACTAATAATGTAGACCGTCCCCAGACCATGTATGTGTTGCTTAAAGGCAGATTCTGCGTTAATGCACGTTTTAAACGTGCTTACTGCAAACAGGCCGCTGAAGAGAAGCACTTGAGCAAGGTGTTTGAAGCACTTGAGAAGTGGTAGTGGCAGCTACCACATCTACCTTTTGCCAGTGCCGCCTCTTTTATGAATAAGTTGGTGAGAAGTACTCCTTTGGTTTTCTTCTGTAAAGCTAGGGAGCTAAACAACGCAGGTTTAACAGCTGCTTGGACTTCTGGTGGTGGGAAAATGGTCACTGTGAGTTGCAAATGTGCTTGGGTTTGGACAGATTATAGTCCGGATGACTTTCAGCCAAGGGAAGCCACTTTTTCTGCTGTGAATTGAAACTGTCGATATAGATTTATTTGCTTAATTTTTAAAGTTGAATTAAAATTTAATTTGTTTAATTTAATTTTATTTTTTTATTTGCTAAATTTTCACCTGTCTTGAACGTAAGTCTCTTCAGGGATGCCAGACTGATAGCCCCCGAGCATAAAGTGCAGCTGTGCGAGGCAGCACTTAGGTGCGTGCGTCCGTGGGAAGCGCTCCTGTGCGGATGCTGGCTGCTGCGCGGACGTTAGTCGTTATTGGGGAAGAGAAGCTTTAGGGCTTGCGAACGCTGACAGTTGGCTGAGTAGTAGAGAGCATCACTGCAAGTGTGAATTGCACTAGCCCACTTCAGCACCTGAAATGTTGTAGTCCACTCTATAGGAAACTTTTTAAAGGCATAAACACCTGAATCTAAGCTTTTCGCATCCTGCCACATGTAAAGGATCCTAGAGCCCTCAAGCAAAAAAAGGTCAAGTTTTCTGTCGAGCGAGCCTGTATTTAGGCAACTGCATTATCCATTGTAATGATCTTCCCTTTGCAGATTGTCTTGCTTAATATTTGCTTTGGGAATCTCTAGGCTCATGGGTAGCTCTGATGGCCCTATCCTGTAGTCGGGAAGCGGCATGTGTTACAGCGCTGCCTCGACTGTCGCATGTTTGATGCAGATGTCTTTTGGTTTTTTTCTCCCTCATCTGTCTTTGCCAGATGCTTCTTTGGGATTTTCCTTTTACAATTGCATTGTTCATCAACGTATTGTGCTGCCTTTAATATTGAAAACTAATGTTAAAAAACCACTGTACGATACTGATTTTGAGTAAGGTTTGCGGTACTTACTGAAACTATATCATGGTACCAAAAATGTCTTATTTTTATTTTCTTCCAGGAACTTTATATTGCTGTGGGAATATCTGGAGCAATCCAACACTTGGCTGGGATGAAAGACAGCAAGGTATGAAGTTGGATGTGCTAGAAAAGAATTTGAGTAAGGAAAGGAGTTTCTTTCTTTGTTTTTACATCAATATTTGAACCAATTTTCTAGTTTTGTTAATGTTGGGATTGCCAGCTTGTTTGATGTTTTAAAACATGTTAGCCCTCTAAGCCTTGCCGAATAAAGTGTTGCGGAAAAACATCTAACACACTAGAAGAACTATTGCACTAAAACCCAAAGTGTGAAGTAGAAGAAACTAATTGACTTTGTTTATTTAAAAAGAAAAGTGTGTATGCCTGAACTCTATACAATGGTTCCATTTGCATTTATTTCAGAATATGACATATTAATTCATGCATAACAATGTGCAATTTGAATTATGAACTTACTATTCCATAAAGTAAAAGATGTCTCTGACATTCCTGCATTTAGCCATTCAAATGGAAACCTATTATAAAATGGCAGTAAAACTTTAAAAGGTTTAACTCATTAGTTGCCAAAACAATCTGAAATTGGAATTACCAGAGTTTGGTCCACAAAGCAGTGTTTGGAAAGAGGAGCGGAATTACCTGCTGGATCATGTTATCAAATGCCAGACATTTTAAAAAAAAAAAAAAAGAAGTGGGTTGTCCTGATGACCCCCAACTAATTTTAGAACAAGATTAATTTTTTTCTCTTTTCAGGGAATTCTTCACGAGTTTTAATGGGTTTGTTTCTGCTTTCTGGCACCTAGTTAAAACCTACCAGAAGATTTGCAAAACTTTACAGGCAGATCCTTAATTTGTCTCGTGTTTGACCACTGACACACCGTAGTGCATTTATGTGACTGGTAATTCTTGTCACGAGCCAGCCTGTGGATGATCTGCGTTTTCTTAGGATTTAGTTCCTTTTGGATATAGTATTTAAATCATTTAATGTAGTAGTAATTTAATCATTTAAATCATTCATTTTGGAGAAATCACAAAAACGGGATTTGGGATAGAGCCAAAAGTTTTGGGCCTCAGTTTTCTAAAATCAGTGTCCCAAGCTGTGTCAGCATCAGTGGGTGCATTGGAGAAAAATCAGAATTGGAAATGAAAGATGATGCAAGGATGAAGGTCGCTATTGAGAGGTGAGACAGAAAGGTGCAAATACTAGACCTGTGGCAGGGTATTCTCGCTGCTATTAGTGGAATGGGGCAGTTTCAGTCACTTCTGCTCCCAGTGAGGGGACAAGAAGGAGAGCCAGAGAGAGCGGCGCAGTGCAGTACGAGCCACGGTCGTCCTGGCTCTCCTCGGGTCCCGTGAGACCCTCTGCTGTGGCTGATGGGCGGCAGTATTAAGGATGCCGTGGTAGGTGTTTAGTCTCCGGCTGGGCTTTTGAGGTCGGGGGGAGATGAGGGCCGAGGGGATTAGTATCAGGCGTTGGGTGATAACTGTTTATTCAAAGCTGCTCAAGACTTGATCTGACCTGGTTTGTGCGCATCACCTGCGTGATCTTGATAAGACTACCAGCAACACCGAGAACTTCACTTTACTTTTTAGTGTCAAGATTTCCTTTGCTATAAAAGTATTGTGCAGCAATATTGTGCGGTAACCGCACAGTCTCTGCTTCTGTGACTTCTCAGTGCCATGTTTGGTATTTTGAAAAGGTCTTTTATATGAAATAAGGACAGATGAAATCTGTTGATAGGAGATGCATGCTTTACAGTTTAATTTCTCCCATATGTCACAGGTTTTTTTTCTAGTTTAAACAAGAGTGTGTATCATAAAATTCAGTTTTACTTGTATTTGAAATATGCTCTGCTTTCCTTTTAGCCAAAGCATACAGGTGTTGTAGTTACTGAAAGATCCAGTTTATATAAACATAAAAGAATTATGCAGCCATGGGAACTGTCTCGGGAGCGTCCCCCCGCTGCCCTCGGCGCAGTGAATTAGCTGGCTGTGTGAACCTGTACACTTCACGATACGTTTTCCAAAGTAGTCAGATGCTTTCTACCAAGTGGAATGTATAATTCATTTGTCCTTTTACAGCAAGGTAAAAATTGCAGCTTTTGAGGAGACCTGGAAAATCATTGTTGCTTTCTTTCCTTATTTTTTCCTCCCTCGTGAGGTTTTTGCAACGTCTCCTCTTTCTAGGAGCTTTAACTTGTGAAAGTTCTGCTTGCAGCCAACGTTACGCTTCTGTTTCTCGCCATCAGAAGTCTGGTTAAATGACGAGGTGCAGAACCACGGCTTATTAAAAAGTTACTTCAGTTAATGGAGACGGTTAGAGGAGGCATTAGGCTGCCGAAGTCAAGCTTAAGATAGGTGTTTTTCAAGCAGCTGGTGCTACTTATTTTGGTGAACGTGGCCCATGGTGTTTCTCAGGGCGCCCCGCAGAGCCTGGCGGGGCGAAGAGGGGAGCGCAGAGGCGGCACGTCTGCTGCCTGAAGGGGCCCTTCCTGCTGCGGGCTGCCTCGTGGGAGTTAGAGGGCCCGCGCTCTCCTGCGCTGCGCCAGCCTGGAGCGG